AGGGTGCTTATTGTACCTGTCGTTCTCTCCTGTACAGGTGTGATACCACACACACTACACAAAAGCATGGGAACATTACAATTGAGTAGAAATACATACATCACACTACAGAAGGCCACTATATTGAATACATGCCACATTGTTAGGAAATTCCTGAATATAGACACACACACTGACACACTTATTTAATTTTAGTTTTGTTTTGGTTGCTATGCCTTGACTTTGGTCTGGCATAGTAGACAGCCGCCGGTGTGAACCAAGTATAACTCACAAAACCCAACATAATAATAATAATAATAATAATATTAATTGTTTCTTTGCAGATACTTAAATTAATGATATAATTTATTTTCTTCAATTTTTTGAACAAAATATTTAATTGTTGAAAATTTATTAAAAATATTTAATTAATTTTGCATGTATAGTGTGATAATTTATATTATGCATGTCAAAGTTGAATTTAAACTGAAAATTTCAAAACAATGGCATTCTGAAGCTGATTAAGTATGCCAGGTAGTGATTTTTCAGATAGTAATTATTATAAAAGTATAAAAATAAATAAAAGCAATGGGATCAGTTTATTCTATAAATTTTAAAAAATTAAAAAGCCCAAAAGATACTTAAAGATATCTCTTAAACTAATGAGTTAAAATTACTCATTTTTTTCCAATTTCAAAGAAACTAAAAAATCACTCAAGTGGAAAAAATTGAAGTCAATCACTTTCTTACTTTATTAAACATTTTCACCAAATGCATTTCACTTTACAGCCTCTTCAGTGGTTATTTTGTTTAATGTTATCTGTGCTCTTATATTTGATTAGCCTATCCCAGCATGCATGTATACTATTAATTTCCCAGCATGCAAATACTATTAATTTGAATACTCCCGTATTCAAATTAATAGTATTTGCATAACTTTTAATACAATAGTGTTCCACAATGCATCTTACAAATAAATTTTATATTTTATACAATATTCTTATGTTATTACGATTAATAGTACAGGTGTTATTACTACAGTGTTGATACTAGGGAGATTCTATTCTTTTTAATCGTATTGCTGCTTCGTGCTCTTTCAATCTTATTCCGAGTTTTCTTCCTGTCTCTCTGATGTAAACCTTCTTATCTGTGCATGTACATTGAAGTTTATAAATGACTCCGGCCACATCTAAAGAATTCTTCTGAATTGCAGACCTTCCTTTGTTTATTAAATAAATGCTTTTACTAAATCTATTATTTTGTTTTCCTATCAGATTCACCTAAGAAATATTTATATTTTTCATACAGTTTTTTTAATATAAGAAATTTTAATAAATACATTATCAATTTTTCTATTTTTAACATTAAATCTATTATTAATATAAAGATCATGCCATTTATATATAAGTTGCCATTTATATATAAGTTGTAATGTATAATTTAAAATATTATATTTTAAAGATTTTAAAGATTATTTAAAATATATACCACATTTGAAATACAGTATTAAGAATACTGATCAATTAATTTCAAGACTATTATATTGCCAAATTAAAGATTCTTTCAGATTGGTTAGTTTAGATGTGAAGTCGATACATTTGGATTTTATTATAGAAAATTTAAGCAAATTTAATTTGTCAGATTACATTGTGGACTTTATAAGTTTTACAAATACAAAGTTTAATAAAATTTACATTTTTTATAGGAGTTTAATATTTTTGATCCTGTTCAAAATTATTATTAAAAGAAAAAAGAAGCAATAAGAATCAACATCATATTTTGAGTTTTAAAATTTCTGATACTTGAATGAAAACATTTAATAATTATAATTCTAATGTAGTTTTGTATAAATCTTGTAAATATATTAGAAAATATTAAGAAATTATCTAAAGTCTAATTTAATCGTTAAATATTTTTTATAGCTCAGAATGCTATTAAAAAACAATATTTTACAATTAATGGTCACAATCATACTATTCAAACTGCTTATATAACTGAAGATTGGATGGCTCAAAACACTGTTCTTTTAAATGATGTTATCATGATGACAGGTGTACATTCAAGATATAACGAAGTTGATGTTTTATCAAAATTGCCAAAGACTATTACAAAACATATTCAAAAAGTAAGTTATTATTTCAGTCTTCACATAGACAATAATTTTTGTCATTTAAAAAATTTAATTTAATCAGAAGTTTTATAGCATAGATATTTATAATGTAAATAAATATTTATCATTAATCAATAATAATAAATATTATTGATTAATGATAAAAAATTCATAAAATTTATCAATTACATTAAAAATTATATTAACTGCAAAAAGTAATTATACTTCCAAAAAGAATCAGTGTAATTATATTAATTATTATCTGAGAACATTTTAATGTAAATTGAACTTTGTAGAACTGTCCAACTTTCACATTTGTTCATTACAATTTCTCAACATGTGTACCTCTTGTCATGTGGCACACATCCAACTGATAATCAGATTCTTCCTAAGCTATCTATGGCATATCCATTGTTACTTCTCTCATGGAACTCACAATTCTATAGCTCCTGCAGATTACTTGTGTTGCACAATGACAAATGATTTCAAACACAAAACATCATCTCTGTTGTGGAGTTGCTAATTTTATTTTCATTACTTCCTAGAGGTAGTAGACAATAAGACTTTTGAATTCAGGTGGGAGATGAAACTCAGATAATTACACTATCGATTGGTGTACATCACATATGTCTCAGGTAATAATTAACACAATCAGAGCAATTTAAAATGGTAACATTTATTTTGGATAACCCTGTATAATTAATTATTGATATAAACTATATGAAGTTATTATGTGAAAAATACTGTTATATTGGATAAAGTATATTAATAGATATAAATTTTTAAAACTTATTTATCATGGAAGTAAAGACAGTTACATTTTATTTTATGAATGAAATTATAAAACCAATTATTTAATTATTATGATGTTTATTATGTTTCTTTCTTATAGATTTATTTATATAAAGAGAAAAGTCTAGCTGTTGTAACAGTTTTGAACAAAGAAGCTCAAGACAAAGTTCTTCAATTTGAACATAATATAACAATAGATGGAAAAGCAATTAAATTAAGTGCCGCAAACCTTGTTGTGCAGTTTCCCACAGTAAATAAAAAATTTATTTAATCTTTTAATTGAATTATGATCAATAATTACTTATTAAATACAGTCAAACCTGTCTATAACAGAACCTGTATATAGCAAAAACTGTCATTAATGGAAAATTTCTTCAGGTCTTTAAATTTTTTGCAAAAATTAATTTAAATTAACCTGTATATAGTGGAACCTGTCTAATGTGGAAACAGAAAGGAAAATTGGGCTGTATAACAGAAAAATTGGTATCTTTAGCCAATTTAACAATAAGTTTACAAGCGTAGAATGTATAATTTGTAAAAACGTCAAAAAATATAGATACATAATATAGAATAGCAAAATATAACTATTGTATTACAGTAACTTTATTGGGATTTGAACAGAAAGTTTTTGTGTATTTTTATTAACAGCTGTTTTTACTTAACATAAGAATTGTGGCAAGGATTCATATTCATATAGCAGCATTTTAAAATAATTATTTATTGATTTTTCCAAAGCATTGAGTAAAGAAATAGTATTGTAGATATTTAAAGTATGGTTAGGGTACAAAAATTAATTCTAACCTTTAAAGGTGTGTAGATAGGGAGGTGGTCACTTACTGGATCTGAAAAGTGATTCTTCTCCAGTGAAGGAATACTTCGGTCATTTAATGCTGATAAAGTAATATGGGTTATTTCATTTCTGAGCACAGAATTCAAAATCTGTGAATGTTGTTTCATACTAAGGTATGAGTGAATGACCAAAAAACCTACCTGTACCAGTAAATGACCATGGTTCAAAGTTATGTAGTCATTCATTGCTGCAAATTAAAATGGTTTGAGATGAATAATTAAAGATATTTGAATTTATTTTTGTTCAGATAAATTCAAAATGGCAGATGAAATAAATAAAAAGAAAAAGCCTATGGACGTTTTCAGTATAGTGAAGAAGATTTCTATACAGCTGTAGAAGCAGTACATGAAAATAAAATAAATGCTAAAAGGCTAGCAAAAAATGTAACATTTCAAAAGAAATTTTAATAAATTACATGGAAAGATACCAATGGAGCAAAAAATGGACAACATTAACTAAAGCAGAGGAAAAATGGATTATTGGGAAAGCCAAATTGAGTTTACTCATGCATCCTGATGAAGTAAAAGACACAGTTCAGAAAGTTATGAAAGATATGAAACAAAAGAACCCATTTAATAATGATCACCCAGGAAAAAAATGGCTAAAGCTTTTTCTAAAAAGGCACCTAATGTAGCAGCAAAGAATACAGAAGTGATATCCAAAGCGTGAGCAGCAGTTTCAAAAGAGATGATAAAGAATTGGTTTTAAGAATTAAATAATTATTTGAGAGAAGAACGTGCAAGTGATATTCTGCAAAATCCTTACTGTATCTTCAATGCAAATGAAACAGGGATGTTGTTTTGTCCAAAAATTGGCAAACTTCTGGACCTAAATCATATACGAACTTTTATAACATTGCATCAGGACAAGAAAAACTGTATCACAGTATTGTGTAATTTTTCTGCAAGTGGCCAGTCAGTAGATCCTATAATANAACCTTTAACCGATGTGAATAAATTTAACATTACTAACGTTTTCAGACCCCTCCTGGGTCCTTCTTCAGGTAAAATCGTCAAAGTAACCATTTCTTTAGAAAGAATTTTTCAAAGCATCGAACGAATGTATACAGTTCGATGTTTCGAAAATTCTTTCGAAACGAATGGTTACTTTGACGATTTTACCTGAAGAAGGACTCAGGAGGGGTCTGAAAACGTTAGTAATGTTAAATTTATTCACATCAGTTAAAGGTTTCGGAAGTACGTAATATTTAGTAAACTCCGGTGTGTAGTTGTACGTTATTGTTATCTGGTTTTTGTTAACTATAATAATATAATCATGTTAATCAGTTATCAATGAAATTAGATGACTAAAAAATAAAATACTAAGCAAGTACAATTAGATCTCTTAATTTCTATTATCATTATGTTAATTTTAATAAAATGAAATTTTTTTTAATCAAAAAATTATGATTTTGCTGAATTTAGAGAAAAAATACAATATTAAATTTTTCTCAGAAGATACAATTTAAATTAAAAAATATATATATATATTCTGAATTAAAAAATTACTTATTAATTTTAAATGAAAGTTCAAATTCAGTGTTTTTATTATACGAGTTTTTGGATTTTAATTTAATTTATATTATATTCATAGGATGGCTATGAAGACTGGAAATAGGAGAATATACATAATAAATGGTTTATTGATATCATTATTGTTATATTATAGAATATGATATGTTCAACATTACAATAAACATTGTACATTAATACAGCATTTTTATCAGTTCAGAGTATATTTCTACTTTGTGGCTATCTTATACATTAATTTAAAATTATGTAAAAGCTTTCACTTTAAAGTTTTCAAGTCATTTATCTGAAATCTTAATTTTTTCATAATTATAATATATTTAAGGAAAAAAATGCTTGTTTTGAATCAGAGTAGTTATAAATTGAAATTTAAAAAAAAAACATTTAAATGAAATATCTAGCTTCTTTTCTGGAAAATTTCTTGAATATTTATGATTTTGTACATATTAAGGAAATAGTCATTATCATTAATTATCAGTTATAGTATTAGTATATATATAAAATATTTTAGACATAATGCCAATTTCAATATAATTTCTCACAAAATGCCTGGAATTGAACAATAAATAATAATTTTAAATTTGGTGACACAAGAGATATTATATTATTGCAATTATATATGCTGAGCATTGTTTGGGTTATAGCATTAAATATTGAAAGTGTAAAAGATTCTACTATGATCAGTATTTAAGCATTACTTTCAAAATAAAATGAAATTTTTATTTTTTTTACACTATTTATATAAATTTAATAAAAAATAAATTGATCACTCATCAACTACATACACCCTTGTAAAGCAGCATAAATATTTATTAAAACTAAACATTTTGATCATATTTTAATGACTTTTGTCAGATTTATTATTCAAGAATAGAACAATTTGTAAAAGCTAACAGAAAGTAGAACAAAAAATGGTAGAACACCAAACAAGGATTAAAAATAAAATATTTTACAATCTTTCAATTTAACCATTTAACAATTTAGTCCTTGTTTTTGTTCTATTTTATGTTAGCTTTTGTAAATTGTTTAATTTTCAAAAAGCAAACATTATGAAGGTCATTAAATATGATTGAAAACATTAATTTTAATAAACATTTTTGCTGCTTTACAAGGTTGTATGTAGTTGATTGAATGATTGATTTAATAAAGCAGTTATTTTATGAATTATGAAATAAATAAGTAAAAATGACAACAGTTGTTTGGAAAGTGGTCACAGGTGCTCTTTTCTAACTACTGTTCCATTAACAGCTGACAAATAAACACCTGTACTTGAAATGATTTCAACTTGTAGATCAGAACATCAAAGAACAGTACATTAACTGTGCAACAGTGGAATAGTCAGTATGGTGCTACCTCTTAGTAGTGGAGAATAAACGTGCAAAATTTTTAGAGTATTTTTCCACACGTTTTTTTCTCATTACTGTTTCAGAAAAAGATTTTGTAAACAGTTATGTCTAGTAAAGAAAAGAATTTTTATTGTTATTCATTTTCTATGTAAATTTTTTTTTCGCAGTAGTTTTTGGATAGTTTTTGGCAATACCCCCAAAAGAATTTGATGTAATATATATATATATGTCCCTCACCACTGCCACACGATCGCTCTTGACGAATATATTCATCGCTCACTGCTGAGTGGTTAATAAACTGTTGTCAGTTTAATAATAATAATAAGTAAATATAATACACCAAGAGCTTGCAAAGAAACAAATTATTAGACATCCACAAATCATACTACAAATATATTCCATAGACAGTATTGGAAAACAACATGCACAAAATGTACTATGACAGTCATAATCACAGATAAAACAATTTATCACAACAGATCAGACATCACATTCATTGACAAACACAATAAAATCACATACATTATAGACATATCTCTCTCAAACACTCACAATATACAAAATACATGCACTGAAAAAATCAGCAAGTACATGGAACTCACCCAGGAAATAAGGCATCTGTGGAGGATGGATAAGGTGCTTATTGTACCTATCATTCTCTCCTCTACAGGTGTCATACCACACATACTACACAAAAACCTGGGCACATTACAATTGAATAGAAACATATACATCACACTGCAGAAGACCATTATATTGAATACGAGGTGTGTTCAAAAAGTATCAGACCTTTGGTCGGCAAAAATAAATTTATTGACTTTGAGGTACAAAACCCTAATCCCCTTCAAAGTAGTCTCTTTGGTAATATATACACTTCTCCCAGCGTTCCTGCCATTGCTGGAAACACTGCTGGAACGCATCTTTTGGAATGGCCATCAGCCGGTCCGTCGCATTTCGCATGATGTCTTCTCTCGACTAAATTTGGGTTCCTTTTAGCGGCATTTTCAGCTTGAGAAATAGCCAAAGGTCACACGGAGCCATGTGGAGAGAGTACGGAGCGTGACGAA